CAAGAAAGAGAATTAGAAGCTATTCATTCTGTATTAAATAACATGAATTCACAACAATATTTCAGATCCTCTCTTAATAACATGACTATGAAGAAAATAGTTAAGCTTAAGATAAAACAGGGACAAAACCACCCAATAAACTTGAAAACATTGATGCACCACCATGCAGATTTTCAATTCAGTCCATTACATGAAATAATTCATTACAGTTCATTTTCTCTGATGTGCAAATGCCAAAGTCAATAAACATATTTCCAAATTTTGAAAGTAGTGACTGATGTTACACAGTAGTCAGTCATGTTTCTTGACAAAGGAGTGATTTAGAGTCTAGCAGAATCTGAAAACTGAAAAAGTCTCTGTAGGCTTTTATTTGAAGAAATACATAAAACTAAGAGCTGAATAGTACATAAGTAAATATTCGTGTCAGAGTTGGCAAACAAAAAGGAAGTATTTTTGTAATGCAAATAATTTAGCTGTTAAGCAAACTACAGATTAATGTAATACAATACCAAAGCTTCATTTACCTGTTTTGAAAGGACTAATGTACGACAAGAAGTTCTACAGATCAAACATTCATCTTTTTTGCCTGTAAAGTAAAGACATATTTAAAATATACATCAAACTGAATAGATATTGAATAAATTTTTAATAGAATTTGATGTCTAAACCTTTGTTTGGAGTTTGTGGAAGGAATCTGAATGTTAGACAAGAAATGCAAATAAACATGAATAAAGAATTTAATTCTATAACCATTACACACAGTTACACAAGGAAAATGTGTGTGAATGTCATCAGATCTTACTTCTGCAAATAAGCATTCATGTAAATGATTCTATGAATATCATTAGTGTCACTGAATGCAGGTGACTTTTAGTTCCGATGATTTAAATAGGACTACTTGCCGGGTTTAATTAAATGTATGCTTAAGTGCACTAATGAGTTAGAGTCAACCAGATATATGACTTTTTAGACTGGAGCCCAGCTTTGGTCTCTTGATAAAATATATGAAACCTTAACTCCAAAGAATTAATAATTTTACCTTGTGAATTTTTCCAGTGAAAAAGTCATCAAATCACTTCTTAAAACTTTATCTTTTTTAAAAATATATTTTTATTTGCAAGCATATTAGCAAATATCTCTAATAAATTCTGTATTATTTCTAGTAAATTCATATTACTACAATATTTATGATTGATCATTTTACTAGCTGCTTCCTTTCTAAGGATTCTAAGAATCAATGTTCATAAATATCTTTAAAGAGTAAATACATTTAAAACCTGTTATTATCATTATTATTGAATTCACAGCAAAAATATATATCTAATATCTATGGGGTTTTTTTGCCAATCAATATTAAGAGCAGAAAGGAAAGCTGCTGTTCAGGTTTTAAGGGCCTGCCAAGCTGTATTTAGTGGCTGCATTTTATGACTCTCTCTCCTCAACAGCAACCCTGTGAAAACTTTTAGTCAAAAGTTTTTTAATTCCAAAATACAGATTGATGACTTATTCTGTGTGCCCTTACAAAACACAGGGCATTTAGCACTACCTCAAAGAGAAAAACATTGATGTTTGTCTGGATTTTTTTTTCTATTGAAATGCAACTTCCTTATTTAACATCTTTTCCACAGATCTTCATTTAAGCACATCACAGGAGTCCCAGAATATGACTCAGGGATTGCATACAACACACAAGAGCTTTAAAACATCACCTCCAATCCTCCTAATGCGACTAGAAATTTTCTAGCGTTCCGGTGACAATACTGAGATTTAAAATGTCTTAAGAACACTAGCAAAACCCTGAACAAATCCTATGTTTTGCAAACTGCTCTTTCACTAATAAAAAAGCATGCCCTTTTGAAAATTGTTCAGAACTGAATGCCTTTTTTTTTTTTTTTTTTTTTTTCCCCACAATGAAATCGTGGATCATAAGCATTCAGACTCAAGTTTTATTAAAGCCTCCAGTTTTCTGTGTCTAAAGGCTTGCTCCGAAAGCCACGTTGCTCCAGACAGATTCATCTAGAGGCAGACACTGGTGTACAAAGAGTTGAAAAGGTTTATCGGTAACATTTGATTGACAAGAAGAAATACTCAGACCTTTCTTTTTTGCACAGCGAGTCAGAAATGCTAACGGTTAAGGTAAATATGTGCACACCAGCCCTGCCTGACCCGCTGGCGGAGGGGGCCGAGCCCCGCCGTGCCTGCAGCAGCCATTACCTTTCTGGAGGCAGATCTCACAGATAACGTGCCCGCAGCTTGTGAGGCTGAACCGTGGGGTGGGCTTGCGGGGCTCACAGAAGCAGACATTGCAAAAGACCCGTACGGCCATGGGGTGGAGAGGCAGGCGGGCCCGGCAGGGAGCACCACCTGCGGGGGTGAGGCCTGCGGGCCTCCCGCCACCACCTTCCTCCAGTCTGAGGCGCCGCCGGGCCCTGAGGCGAGGGGTGGCAGCCTGAGGGCGGCCGAGTTTGACCCTCACACCCCCCAAAAAAGGGGGTTTTCAGGCCTCTCACTACCAAACTGGAGAGGCGTCCACGCACGGGATCCTGAGAGGTTTTTCCCCCTCCCTTCCCTAAACGCGGGCAGCTGAACTGGATCGAGCACCAGGGCTCTGGGTAGGTGCCGCACCATGAGCCCTGTGACACCTGTCCTCCTCACAGAGGCGGCGGGGCAGCAGGGGTGTGGGAAATAGTGGGTTTTCACTTTTAAATGCAGTGATCCGGGAGGTTATTCATTTACTGTCACAGATTTGTTGTTGCTTCTTTTGGTGAGGGAAAGAAGCAAAACAAAGGGTTTTGATTTTCATTTCTTAGGCTGAAAAAACACCACAGTTTGCTAATTTCCCTTGATGAAAATCTGGGGGGAAAATTCCCTTACAGATTTCTCAGTGCAGGCTGTAGCTCTGGGTATGACAGAGCCACAGACTGCACAGAAGGAACCTCCAGCTTTTGGTTTCATAAAGACTACTGCCCTCAAAGTGCTTCCCAAAGAGCTATGATTCAGCTTCTGCTTTATAGATTTAATTAAAAATCTTGAAGGAGACTGAAAACATTTCATCAAAGATATTTAACTATTATTATAGATAAAGAATGAAGCACTGTCAAGCTATAATCAAGGCTGCAAGTCTCAGTGCTGTTTTGAGTATAGACCTAATTAATACAGAGGAACATAATCAGCTCCTTTATAAATTCTGACATGGTGCCTGTCCTTTTGGTTTAAAAGCCTGAGTATATTGTGATACGAGTTAAGTTTGTCGTTGGGATGTAGCTAGGAGCCTTACACTAAATATCAGCTAAAGTCTGAACCACAACCTTGAAGCAACCCTTTATTAAACTTCCTTCTTGGACTTCATATACTATATGGTTGTAACATATAATTTCTTCTTTCACACCACCAACGATGTTATTACAGGACATGTGAGTGAGTGCTCTATAAAAGTGAATTTAATCACACTTATTTACTGGACATTTCAAGTGACCACTCTAAAGTCTCAGAAATTTTAAATATAGGACACAGTGAGTAGCTTTACGAGATTTTATTTTCATTGATTTGGTCCACAGAGTATTGCTTTTTATTTCTATTTTGTATCAACTTTATGGATTCTCAAATACTCACAGCTGTATTTTCATTCCCTTACTGGAAACGTAAGTGAACTTAAAGGGCAATGGCGTTTCCTTGCTAATGAAAACAAAAGGTAAGAAGATAGAAAAAAGAAAGCAGACAGTGCCTTTAAAACAATAATTGGTCTACAGATATTTCAGCTTTCACTACCTTTTAGAGTCGTGAAGGGTCTGAAAGATGAATAGGAAGCCAAGCCACAATATTCTTCTATCACTGTGATCTCTAGAGACTTTTTCAAGTGTTTTCACACGTTAACCTAGTGCTGAGATGGGTCATGTTAAAACCACCTCCAGCTCCTTACACTACTGCTGCTTTGTCAAGCCAGTTATCTGAATTTTTAGCCACTACTTTTGACTTATAATTGCATGATACTGTAGCAACTCTGTTAGTTGTACATAAACTAGCTAAATTAAGGCATGAAGATATTCAACCAAGCTGCAATAAGTGAAATCAAAATGCATGATTAAGTCAAAAACTGGTAAATTCCTTAGACAGTGAAGTTAGAATTGTTGAATAATTAAAATAAAAATAATTCTCCAACACAGAAACAGACTGAAACATTTAGTGTAAGAATAATTTAAAATTATATATAGGCACAAATTCAGTGTTTACCAAGAAACCTGTGATTTGGTTTACTTTGGCATACTTCATAAAGACTATAATTTACATAAACAACTGTGGGAGATGTCTGATCTCAACTCTATAGCCTAATGTTTATGGCTTATCTGGAAATAAAAAGTAAGTACAATTCCAAATCATTTGTCTGGGTCTCTCTCTTCCATGGTAATTCTGCAACCACTGATCATATTCTTAAGGGTGAGCTTCACATTCACTTAAGGCTTTGAATATTTTAAAGGAAAATAGTGGCAATTATATTTGAGGAAAAGCTAGGTGTTATAGGCTGAGTTCAAGACTCTCACCAGATTAAACACCCCAGGGGATATAGTTGTTTATCTGCCTACTATCTGAATCCTAGTCAGTCTGAAACACCAAACTGTTCATGGTAGTACCAAACAAGATCACTAAGCAAGTAGATAAAATAATAGGAAGCTTTTTTTTTTTTTTTTTGTTTTCTACTTTAGATTTAACAGTCCTGAGTTGAACTTAAATCCTTGCCTTAGTCACTGGGTCCTTCTTCTAGATTTAGCTTTACATCTGTAGAGGAAAAAAGCCTCATTGAAGATGGGGTTCAGGGAGTAAAATGTAAAGGAATGCCAGAGGTTGTGATACAGGTAGAGAAACCAGACTTGCGGTAAGAATCAGAGTAGAAGATAAGAGAAGCTTGAGATTTATATACAACCAGTTCTCTCATAGGTGTAAAGTTTCTTTGGATGTTAGGTGGCTACACGGTGTGCAATCTTTGTGCACTTATTTTATAAGGCTTAAACAAGCTTTTTAGATATAAAGAAATCTCTGAGAGATTTGATTTGCCAGACTCCAATGGATATGAGTATTAGTGTTTGTACAATAGCCCACCACAAAATATTGCTGTTGGTTTCTTCACTCATCTTTCGAAATTTTTCTTCACGCTCCTACAGAAAAAAAAGGAAAAGCATAATTATTACCTTTTGGCATCTGTATGTTTCATGCTGCTATCCAGGTAACTAGACAGGAATCCCTCTTCTGTGCAGTAGTGAACAAACACTTTTTTCATGTTGCTAAAAACGAAAGTTTGTTCTTATCCATGAAGTGAGTATCTTTACAAATCAAAACAAAAGCAGACACACTGTATCCTGAAGTGGATAAGCAAACAGAGCTTTCCCTTGTTCACAAAGTATATAATGTGCTAAATGTGTCCCATTAGTACAGGCTTAACCCTTTTTAGGTTTGCAGTCACTTTCACATTACAGTCAATTACTTTTTTGCAGCCAAATTTATGTTTTTAGGGAACTAGTTGATATATTTCAAAGACAGTGTAACTTCCTGCACGTGTAGAGAAGGGAAGACAACGGCTATACACTTGAAGGAGGGTTTTATTTCTAACTGCATGGGGGAGTGGATATTTCCCTTTAAGCTCATTACAATTAATTATACAAATTTAAAATCTTCACTACTGTTAGGTCATTATTTTATGATAGCATTGATTCAGCCACCATGAAAATACTTTCTTTGTCCAAACTACTTAAAAGAATAAGCACCATTAGGACTGCTCATTGTATTTCACATTCCATCCTAATATTGCAGAAATCACATTCTACAGTAGTACTGCAGGAAGCTTTTTATAGATGCACTTCTGGGTTTTCTCAGCTAACAGGAATTAAGACTGGAAGGAGACCAGCTGAATCATTTTTTGCAGTTTATCAGGTGTAAAGCAGAACCGTTTGTAAGGTATCTTTTTTCTTTCTCCACACATGGTTTGTCTAGTATGATATACCTCCTAATGTCCTATAAACTATTGTATGATCTATAGCAAAAATGCCCCAAACCTGCAAAGCAATAGACCCATAGAAAGAAAAGAGAAGAATGCAACTTGCAACTTGGTTTAGCATGAATTAAAAACTTTCCTAAAACTAATATGAGACAGTTCAACTGGAAGTCAGATAATCTGCAGAAATCCAAGAGCTTGATATTGCAATGACGGAAGTTTGGTCTACTCAGACATCATCCATAAATGAAAAACACATCTTCTTTCAGCTCTCTTGGAGTTAGTTAACTGAATATCTGGAAATCTATCTCAGAACCTTATAGTAACCTTTGTCCATTAATTTAGTTAACTTTGTTTTGAAGCAGTTCAGATAGCCACCCATGCATTTGGTTCTTGAAGACCACTTAAAGATTTAACTTAGCTAAAGAATGTTTTTCCTTTTGTGATCTTTATTCCTGAAGATACAAAGAACAATATTTTCTCTTTTTACGTCTGGGTTCCTACGACAGACAAACCACCCTGTTTCATATTTGTGCTATTAAATAGCATAACCAGAACTGTAGATGGTGCATGCATCATGGAAAATTATATTAATACAGCTCCATCTATACCAGATAAAAATCTTCTGATCTATCCTCAGAATCACGTTCATGGTATGTAGTTAACTATGACCAACCAATACTTCATCCCCCATAACCTCTCTAGTTAATGAGCTCCACTGATTTTTTTATTGTTATATCCTAAGTGCTTTTGCAATGTGTATTTCCACTCATTTCCATAAATCAGTCCATAAAAACACCTACTTTTTCCAGTGTAATAGTCCCATTTCAGTATTGTTAACTCTTCTTGCTTCTGTGTCACCTACATATTCCAAAATCATACATCTAAGATGAAATTTGGCCTACCACACAACACATTTACTAAATGTTTATATCTAGCTAGTTATCTCTTTTGCAGTCAACTGGGGAAAAACAAAACAAAACAAAACAAAACAACCAACAACAATTCAAGTGAGTAATTCTCACCTGTTCAACTATCTTTTAAGAGGATGCATATAGATAAAATTTTCAATGTTTATGAAATTATCTGCTGAAATGGGTTAGAACCATGATATCACCTCTGACGGCTTCTTCATTTTTTTTTCAAAATTCGCATTAAGGCCAGCTTTAGTAGACATTATCAAGTATGCTAATATTTATTTCAATATCTTTCAAAAATTAAAATATTAAATTTTCCTTCTGAATTCAATTTAACCTACTGAAGACATGGAATGTCTTTATGATAACTGCTTGTGTTAGTCAATCTTACATATCTATCTTTTTGAAACAAACAGTTGTTCTTATTGATCAGAATCTTTCACGTTCAAAGCACTGTACAAACATTGAATCACTCTGTAGTTATTAGTCTTGCCTCTTTAATCTTATCTTCTTAAATATCAGAACAGTCTTTTTATCTCATCTTCAAAATTCTAGGTTTGTCTTCTTTAATCACTAGAAAATGTTGAATTATCTGCTAGAAGTTAGACTAACTTCTAACCCAATTTGTAATTTCTGCAGTTTGTAAACAATTAATACTATTACAACAAAGAATATTTAAGAAATACACCTACCAGTTTACTTCCTGAAAATGCCACAAATCTTGTGGAGTTAGACTGTAAACAGATAATATGCTCCCCAGATAGATAGGATGTAAAAGAAAATGTTCCCTGTGGCCCATACAGTTTTGACAATAGTACCTGTAATTGAGATATTATGTATTTGGTATATGTACGTTATAAATATTAATAAAACTATCAAAAAGCAGTACTGTGAATTGGATGTAAAAAGTAATCAATTAACCTCCTGACATCATTAAATTTGTCTAGATTTCAGAATAGATTTAGAGAAGAATAAACAATTTTAGCTCACAATGAACATTACGATGTTATAGATTTCTGCAATGTGCAAAAGTCAATGCTCTCTAAAGCATTTAAAGTCTAAAAATTAAGCCCTTGTCTAGGCACAGAAATAAATTGTCTGTTGCTGAAAAAGCTCAGGACCTTTCCTGAGGCAGTTGCTATGCATGATGACTGTATGCAGCCTCATGGTAATTTTGACTTTTGCAGTTTAATTTATCATCCATCTTCCTTTCTGCTGCTCAAGTACATTCTGTACCATTTTACTTCATTAATGAATTTTCATTTTTAAAAAATCTAACCTGTTTTCTCAGTTGTCATTTACTATTCTTACTGACAGTTTCTCAAATCCAGTAGTAATGCAAAAATTGTCCACATACATCATTTTCAAACATTGTAATTTCTATTTACTTTGATAGAAGTCACAGGTGCTTATACTTTTCAGCATCAAAATAATGAACTAGCTAGTAGACTGTAGATATACTTTTTCCCAAAAAGAGTCAATTATTTTCAGATAGTGCTGCCTGCTAGTGCCAAAAGTCAACTAATAAATCCTATAAAAACTTTTGTAAAGCATATTTACCTCAGCAGAAGGAGTTGTGACAGTCACAAACATTCCCAAACCAGGAGCAGATTCAAGAAAGTCTTGTTTATGTATATCCCAGCGTTGTACTTTGTAATTCCCTGAATAAAAACATAGATAAAAATCTGTTAAATAAAACATAGCTTAATATTAAACATCTTTATTGCTTTTGGAGCAAAAATGTAAAGATAAATGATAAGCAGTAAAACAATATATGTATTTCATGTGCTTATGATTAAAATTGCTCGGGGGGCACTTTATAACCATGAAATGCAATAAATTCTTTATACACTAAAAAATGTTCTAGAATGCTACAAAAAATGGTTGATTAACAAGTAGTAGTACTTTCTGATTACTCCTAATGCTCTGGCAAGATTAGCATACAGAAAGCATGCTGAGACCTCCAAAAGCATAATTGTGCTGTATTCAAATTACATTTTTAGGATTGTCTTTCATATTTATCACATTATTTATTAAAAATATTATTATTTATTATTTTTTGCTATCTCCTTTCTGTCCTCCATTTACATTTACAGTCTTGCAGATGAATTTAACGTTCTTGTGATATCCCAGGTGAAGCAGAACTTTAGTACATCTTGAATTTCTTCTTTCCAGACCAGTATTAATCAAAAAAGTAACTGTCCCATTTATATGGGAAAAAACATGTTACAGAAATTCTGGTAAGAATGAGTAAATCAGTGAGAATATCCAGAAGCATATATTGAAGCAGCAATTCCACTGCTGTAGAATTAGAAGATATTCTTTTTCTTTATTTAGTCAGTCAAGGACTCTGGAAACCTGCATTTCTTTGTGTGATGGATACACACAATGTGTGAGGACATTCTGACTAGACCCTACTGCAGAGACTTATTTTCACTATGCCCTCTTTCTTATCACCATGGTTTTACCATATTTCATTAATCAGATTTTTCTGCTACAAGCCATCTTTATTATTATTTCTGCTAGAAGCCATCTTTACTATTGCATCATATAGCATTGAGAGGTACCTACCAATTACCAACGTGTCTCTGGGAACATCTTCAATTATACATTTCTCTTCTCTTTCTCCACTGTGAAAATACAAAGCAAGTGAAAAAGAAATCCAAAAGTTCATGAGAAATCCTATTAATTGGATTTTCATGGTTTTTTACGTATCCCAGTTGTACGGCTTTTGAAGATAACTGTTTACAAATGTATGTAGTCCTGTGGTCGTTCCTTGTTTGCTGCTTATCACTGTATTTTTGAGAGAGGAAAAAAAACCTGTGAGAAAAAGCAGCTGGTGGTTACACATTTATAAATAACTACAGTATGTTCTGCAGAATGAGATAACATAAAAAAGATAACTTGTAAAATCTTTCTTCTTTCTCAGCATCGAGATTAAAATTTTATTTTATACACATAGAAGAACATGAAACTGGAAAAAATCTCTCAGGTACTTGAGATCAATTCCCTAGATTACTTACTTTAAGCAACCACATGGCTATCTCTTTCCATAAACTGCTCAATTTTCAGCTTAAATGAATTTGTTAATTTATATTTTCCATTTTTTCTGGATCATTATTCCAGAGCTTCACTCTTTTATTAAGAAATCTTGTCATTTCCAACATAAATCATTGGACATCTGTATATACCTGTACAAAACCCACAGAGACTGTGGACTGAAAGAATTATGAAGAAGAAAGTCAAAAGAACTTGAACAATAAAAGTGTCTAAAACACTATATGATACTGCAGGGGGAAAAAAAAACAACAACAAAACAAACAAACAAACAAAAAAAAACCAAACAAAAAACCCAAAAAAACCCACAAAATCCACACATTCTGAATAAGATTTTACTACAAAAGAATAACTTTTTCTTAGATACTGCCTAATAAATTCTTTAAAGAACATTATAGTGTAAATCAAACAATGATTGAGGTTTTTATTTTTACCCTTTGTACTAATATAAATCAACATATATGTTGATGAACTCATTTACCACTCTAGTGTTCCTTGTCCTTTCACCAGTAGGGAGGACCCAACTTTGAGCTCATTTTCTCCTTCACAAGCTCGCTACACTCCTGTTGAAGGCTCTGTAATTTGATCACTGACTCTCTCCAACCCTGCCATGTTCCTCAGTAGCACCTGGCATTTTCAGAGGAAATTGTCCAGTGATTTCCTTGAATGTGTCTTTGATGAACCTCTCAGTCCAGAGTTCTATCATCTTGACTTCAGGGTATGGGATATAAGCTGCACCCACACATGCCATATATGTGATATGCAGTGCTCTAGACAAGGAAAACACCATTTCCTTGCTGGAATTTTGCCAGCATTTATTTTGCTTGAAAAGGTGGAAGTTGGATTTTATTTTATGTTTTTGTTTTTATATAGCTGTGAGATGCCTAGTTGCATTAATTGCATCCTCAGCACTATGCACACACCAAAGGACCATGACTAGCCCTTTTCTCATATTGTTCACCATGTCCTCTGAATTTTTCTTTCAATTACCTCATAAAATGTCCCATTTGCATTTACTGTTATTTAGTTACACCTGTACTAAGTAAATAAAGTTGTTTTGGTCTTCCTATCAATTTCTGAGCAGCCCTTCTGAGAATCTGCTTGCTTTGTCAGGTGATGCATTCTGCTAATGCTCATAGCCACGGAACTGGCTCCATCATAGCACAAGAACATGTATTTTCCTAGTGTCAAGGAAGAAGGGTGGACAGCAGCTCATCTTCAATATCTGTAACCTAAAACCCTAAAATTTTGGATGGTAACTCTTAACTGGATTATTTCACATATGTAAAAGAAGGACTGATTCATGTTTATTGCCCCTCCCTGCACTTGCTATCTATGAAGTTGCCTCAGTATAAAAATGTCTTTGTCTAACCTGGCACAGGCTTACAACCATCATTGGTTCAATCCGTTCACAGTATGAAGTGTCTTCACACTCTAGCACAAGTATTAGTTCAGCCCATCAAAGTACAACATTCCTATACTGATAAAGAGGTTGTCATATGAGAAGACTTGATTCCTTGAATATTACTTATTTTTTGACTTCATATGGTTAACTATAGAGTGATACAAATTGCATCCCATGGCCATTGAATCCTTAGGAGTCTCAAGGGTGATATTAGAGCTCTGTTACTACTGTAGCATTTATCCATCAGAAATAATTTCAGAGTCTACAGAATCTCATCATATAATTGGACTCTTACCCCTCCACCACAGGGAGATCTTGCCTGACATGCACCTGCATAATTTCTCATGCCATACTATACCTGCAAGAAGTATTAGGTTTGTCTGCAGATTGTGAGCTACTTAAGCAATCATCCTTTTAGCTTTTTATTGACTAGTTGAGGTTTCCAAAATTCTGTGTTCCAGTGTTACAACACAAGATTTACAAGGGGACACCACTCTATCCTTCACTCTGCCCAGACCAGTTGGGACAGACACATTACTTCTGTACTTATGGCTAACAAATGCTAATATAGTAGGGCTGCTGGACTTCAAACAAAAATAAGTCAGCCTCCAGGTGATCGGGTTGTCATGTAGCATATTAAGAGCTATTTTGTCTCAGGCATTCACACTACCTGTAAATTATCATGGACACAACTTCTGCATACTACATTCTATTAAACAGGATTCAGCTGACTTCAGAATTGCTGTATCAAGTGTTATATTTATTTTCTGAGCACGTTAAATATTGTCATGGAATAATCTTAGTTACTTTATTATGTTGGATCATTCATGACAGATCAGATATTCTCAATGTACTTCAAATACCTGGGACTATCATGAAATGGACTTTTTTTGCCTTCAATACCTTCAGTTAGTCTCAGATCCTTTGTTCACACTCCAGTTATGTCCTGCTGAGGTCAGTGCTCATACAGGGATCAGAAAGGCTGCCATACACTTTCCTTCCTCTTCTAGAAGTTAGACACACATTAGTTTCCATGACCATGCTTAACTTAGCATGGCTGGGGTTTTAGAACTATTTTTCAATTAATCCAAGACTGTCCTCCCCCAAAATGATCTTTGACAGCAGATTCTGTGCCATTTTGACAACTGCCTGTAATATTTCATATCAGGCTTGGTAGATGAGATTTGGATAGTTAGAGTTGGCCCACTTACACAGTTGGCCCTCTGATACAGCTTCTCAGTTGTGGGAAAGCATATTTAGTCAGACATATGGAACAGGGCCTCAAACTGCAATTAGTAAGTTTTTTTCACACACACACCATCGGCATCCATCCCAGTAATTCTGGAGTATTTGGTAGTACAAAATGTCTGCCCTCTCCTTTAGTCCACCTAAGGCTCACACAGCCGACATTTATGCCATGGTACCAGGCAGAGCTTTTCAGTTCAGGTCAGTTCATAAAACACATCGGCCCTTCCTGTGTCTTGGCTTATCTACAAAAGTACCCTGTTTTTTGTCTAGTCATTAACCACTAAGGTTCTGTACTGGATGTCTGCAGAGAAGCCACAGTCCATAGAAAAGCATGAACTCATATACAACTTCATCTGGCATTCCTGCCTACCAGGAGACAAAGAGCTTTCATGTGTTCACCACTCACTGTCCTGAAATTCCTTAAGGTACTGAACAAGTTGTTCTTAGTATTGAGGTACCCTGTTCCACTATAGGAATTGAATTTGGTGTTCATGATTTATGTAGGACCACAGTTCAAGTCTGTGGTGACTTTTTCATTGCTACGTTTACCTTTAACCATGTCTTCCATTCTGCAAGAATATCTGCCAAGGCATTAAAGCTGATTCTTCCTACAAAACATTCTTACTAAAAAAAAATCATCTTTATGAAACCATTTCAAGTTTCCTCCCAAAGTGTTTTCTGAGATTACTTTAACCCAGAAATTAATTTACCTATTTCCTTCCCTAAATCTCATGTATTTAGGACCACAGTACCTTGGCTGCAAGCCATCTGTAACACTGGATGTAAGGGAAAAGGAAGGGAGAGCTTCTCTGTGTTTCTTCACTGTCCTAAAATTTTTAGGAAAATTCCAATCCTTTGTTGAAATTAAAATCTACAAAGGCCTAGCCATATCCACATAGGGAACAGGTTCCTCACTAATCAGTTTAATAAAGAGATGAGAAGTGTACTCCATCATTAGAATGTGCTTCACTAGAACTCATTGTATCCACAGTCTTGCCAAGAAATGTCTCCATTCCTGGTGTTTGCAAAGTAAATACCTGGAACTGCATGCACAGCCAAATATTATGCAGCCACAAGGGCATCCTTCAAGAATGGCGTATTTACCAGAGTCTCCTGAAGTCACTGCTTACAAAAAAACCCTGATCTATGTAACTGACTGGTTAGGAAACTTCTGCCTGAAGGAACCTCCAGTGAATATTAATCTATGCAAACTTAAAATAGCTAAGTTATTTATCACTAACTGGAGTTTCCTGAAGTGTGTTGGCCTTTTACATATTCACTTCCATTTTTACTCCACCCCCTCCTCTCAATCCCTTCTCCCACACTGTCCTTTGGGAAACTTTTGCTTTCAGGAGTCTGAGTAAACACTGGAACTGCTCCACTATCAAATCATATCTTGTAGGACGGAAATCCTAGATCCGGGTCATGTATACAATTATAGATGGACCTAGCCCTTTAGCCGATCTGGACATGCGAAGAAACAATACTAGTGTTTAGAGAACTCCAGGAAGTTTTCTCCAAGGATATCTTGTGGCTTGTGGTTTTGTTTTCCCTAAGTCATAATTTAGACTTGCACCTGATTTCTGTCTAAGGCCTTTATTGAGTTTAATTTATCACTTATGGGTTAATCAATTTGAAATTATTCCCATCCTCAGAGAATATTTAAATATAATATTCAATATATGCTTATGTTTTCTGAGATGATGATAACTGTGTAATTATATAGCAAATAAGTTTAAAAGAAAATAAAACATAGAATGGGTCAAAATTAATATAAAAATAAGAAAGAAAAAAATTGGAAAGGTGGAGAAATTAACTAAACACAAAATATGAAAATTATAGTGTAATAATTTCAATTATAGAATGGAAACAGGGGAACCTGGGGGAAAAAAAAATAATAAAAAAAGTGAAACAATTTTAAAAAACAAGCAACAGTGGGAATCTGTATAAGATGTAGAAATTCCTGTACTTAGATCTAACAACTGCATTTATCAGCATTTGCAGGACCAACTTAGTCTAGTCATAAAGTTTCACATTTCTTTGGGTCTTTGCAAGATTTATCTCCTGGAAAAAAATATAGAGAACTTTTTAAATGTTTCAGCCCTACAGAGAATGCAGTGTGCTCCTTTAAGTACATAATAATTTTTCTGATATTTGGCATATTCCAGAAAGAACCTATTATATTCAGATCAACTCTCCTGTTCAATATCTATGCTGTATATTTATAAAATTGCAGTGCACTATAAAAATTCTGTAGGCAGACTCTAAACATATTCTGTTGAACAGTGTTGTTCCAATATTCTTTTCCTAGTTAGTAGCCACTGCACTTTATAAGCCATATGTTACTTTTGCTTTATAATGGTTATTTGACCGTTAAAACTTGCAGTCAGGACCAGTTTCTGATATACTGTGTTTTGTTATATCTGTGTATACTTCAAATTTAGATTGAAATTATTCCCATCCTCAGAGAATATTTAAATATATATTCAATATATGCCTATATTAAAACATTAGTAAATTTTCTCTATAAAATGGTCAGGATGACACAAATAGCAGCAAGGACATTTAAAGAAACAGACACATTTACTGCATATATAAAGACAATGATATAATTTATGTTATGATCAAGTGTTAACTTCGAGATAGTTGTCTCATGAGGGACACACACCAGCTAACTACCAGTCATGTTTTAAATCTCAGCAAATACTTTTAATTAAATTCAGAAGTATTCTACTTGTATCCACACTTCTGATTTTTTTCTAGTAATTTTGTTGGCCGAGTGTCCTCATGACAGATGTTCTTCTCACTTTTGAGAAAAAAAGAAGAATTTTCATCTATTCATGTCTCAAGACAAGTTTACTCAGTTATACTATTGTCTTAACCACACTGCAAATATCTGGTCACTCTGATTTATGTGAGTAGTTTGTGAAGAAACGCATGTTAAACATCTTTAGAAAGACGACAAAAATGCCAATAAATTATTAAAACATAATTTAGAGAAAAAATTAATTTCTAGGTATAAATAGCTGTAGATCAACAAATTACAGTATCTAATAACGTTATTAGTTTAGATTTTGTGGCTGAAATTTTTACATATGTGCAGTGTAATCTTTTCAAATGTCTTCTTTTCTGCCACTAGAGGGTACTCCAAGAATTTACAGTATATTTATAGCAAGGATTTATTTGGGGTTTTTTGGTCTGTAAATGATCAAGTACTGTTGTCATACTAAACCTTAGGAATTTAACCCCCCAAAATCTTGATATTAAACAACAACTTTTAAAACCAGTCTAATACCTTTTCGGCAAAATAGTGCAGCATACCTGAATTATAAGGAAAATTGACTGACATGTAGTTTAGATTTTGTTAAACTAATCCTACTTTTAAATTATCTAAATTATTATATTTTCTTTATTTCAGACACAGTTCTCTGGTTCACATCCTGTTTCTTCATCCAGATTTGGACAAGGCATTCCATTATTGGCAGGCTGAAGAAGTACAAAACGAGTTCTGATCTTGGTCCCTGTTTTTCTGCAAATACCTCTACAAAGACCCCAGGAAGACCATTGTGAAACCTCACAGTCCAGTGGTGTTTCTGCAATAGACACAATAAAAAGGTAACTTTACATAAATTTCTGCTTAAGGCAAATACATAGTTGGCAAAGCATTAAGGACTGGTGATCAAATAGTACCCTTTCTTATAAAAAATACACGTGATATTAATAAAATCCATATGTTGCCTCATAAATAAAAATGTCTGTTTTCAGCTCCTAAACTCATCGACACTGGTGGTATTATTATTATTATTACTACTTCAGTCTAGAGACTGTCTGAAGTATTATATCACTAATTCAGCATATTATCTATTGAATTGAAAATATAGAACTCATATCAAAGAAAACTATGCTTAAAAGAATTCCTTTCAAGAGATTGTGTTACAAAACATTTACTGTCAATTTTATAACTCATTTGCCTTTCATTAGTAAAAAGATCAGGATGAAAGGTTTTCTCTGGTTTATTTGGGTATATTTATATTTCACTGCAGATAGATACTGTTTCTATAGCTGCTCATATCAAATCCCATCTAACTTTTGTTCTAATTTGCTTAAAAAATAAAGTCCCATTCTTTTATCATTAAATCATCCTGCTCTTGTTTGGTATGTACACTATAGTTCCCCTTGCCAATAATGATATTCTGCCACTAGAAGCTTTTTAATACTAAAAGGGTTTTCATTATAGTTTTAATTTAGTGCAAGAAAAGAAGTCAGAAACTCAAGTACTTTTCATAATGTATACTTCCACAGAAAATATCTTTATAAAATATCTCCATTCCTTAGCAGGTTAAATAAAGATATTGCTTGTCACAGGAAATTGTCTCACAAATGTGTATTACAGCATTTGTGGGTAAAATAGGTGTGCACAAAACCAGCTTTAAACGCTGTATTAAGTGTGTGACCACTGGTATAAATTTCTGGTATTACAGTGGAACTCACCACTTCTGTTTTGATGATTCATTCCCATGTTTCTAGAGTGAATGAGGGACACAGTTTGATCTCTGGTAATTAAATCTATCCTTTTGATTCTGGAATATGTTTTTCAATGGACTTATTTACTGTTAATATACAATAAAGAGGGGATATATGAAAAAAATGTTGTTTTAAATACCATACTTTAAATGCATTGTTTTAAATATATATCCTAAAGAGGGACAAATGTTCCTTTCAAATGTTTGTGGGAAAGGAATATGACTGAAAATGAGATGTTGCACTGACTGAATATGTCTTGTTGATAGAGAAATAAATTATAAATCGTGCATTATTAGCTGTGTAGGGAATAAGCTTTATTCTGGTGATTTTGAGGTGACCAGCACAGAGCTAGAGGCACACAATCTTCAGACATTCTGGAGAAGTTCATGGAACATAGGATCTCTTATAGGAGTACATTCAGGATTTAGCCTATTGCTGTCTCTCAAATAGTATTTAGGATGTCAGTCTTCTTATTCTTAGCCCTTCCTCTTACACTTTGTAAAAATCCACCAGAAAAGTGTAAAGAGAAAATCTCAGTGGACACTGTCCAACTGCTATCTTTCCCTTAGAGCAAATATTATGTTAATTATGTATTTGTTAATTTGAGATTTGAAAATTACCCTTAAGTCTGACTTGAGTGAGTAGTTTGCATGTATTCCTACCTAAGTAACGTTATTAGATAATATATTTAAGAAAGTAAAAATGAGAGAGAACATTATTTTTGTTGTCAGGATGTATGTTTCTATCACAAATATGTCCAAATCAATTGAATTATATTAGTTCTTACTGCACATAACTATCAAGCCCTCTGACCCAGAAAGTGACCCACAATAGTTCTTTTGCTCCATCATCATTAATACTTACTTCAAACTTACAAAGAATCTGAGAACGCTATTCTGAACAAGTATTATTTATTTCTCATAAACTTCATGGATTATTGCTGATACTAAGGCTTGAGTAGCCCTTACTGTATCACCAGAATTTTTGAACCATAGCTCAAATATGCAATCCCTTCCTTATTCTTTCTGGTATTCTCTTTTATGTCAACTGACTTGTTTTATTTCCCATGTGTGAGTCTGGAAGCTATTTCTATGTAGATAGGAGAATATTCTGCCTAATCACCTATTTCATCCACATCACCTGCCAGATTTCCGCATATTTTCTGAGTGAATGGAAATAACAGAATTGAGCGTATCAAAGTACTACTCACTTACCTGAGACCGTGTCTATTATTTCATTGCTTTTAGCCGGAAGATTAAGATAAGGTGCAGGAAGACCCAGCTGGTTTTTCTTTATTTTCACCATTGTCACTTGAGCAATAGGTGGCAAAATTTTGAGTTTGGGATAATAAAATGAGTTTGCTGGGTGACTTGGAGAGGAACAAGTGATCTGTGAAATAAAAAGGGGAACCTTAAAGAAACTACATCATATTAGTAAGAAGATAACTGTAAAATCATGTTTACACAATCATGCTAATACCTTTTTGGCAAGTAAAATGCATGTAATCAGTTTCTATGAACCTCAGTTCACACAACTATTGCTAGTAATCCCAGAATTTTTATGCATAATGAGACTGGGCACAATGAATTGTACCAACCTTTGGATAGAGTACTGTGCTGGGAGGTACTGAAAACACAATAATGTATGGAATGGTTTGATGGAAAGAAGTGGTTGTTATTACAAGGAAGAATACAAGAGTATTAAGTAATAATATTATGTATACTACAGCAACCGTCATATGAATAGTGGAGGCCAAATATATTGTCTTTCAGCTTCTCTGTTCCTTGGCTCTAGAAAATCTGATATTAAAGAAAGGATTAAGTGAATTCTTATAGTATTCAAAACATTTGAGACATAGTCCTCTGTTCCCCACCACCCTTAAATTTCAAAAGCAAAGTATGAGGCATATAGAGTATCAAGTGAGCAAAAGAGACTGAAAGTGGGGTCACCATAGTAGGCATGAAGTTCTCTGCTTTCCCTTAGGTCTTTTCCCTCAAAGGTAACAGTTTCAGGTTTCAGCAATGCTTTTAACTGAAAAATCCTCCCTACATCTGTATTCACTACTAAGAATTTTCCTGTTCAGATCTATATTTACTAATTCCAGGACTTTTGTGAATATTTTTATTTTCCTAGTGTTCAAAGAATTATTAAAAATCATCTAAAAATAGTCAACTTTTACAGAAAATACTTTAAATGTAGAGCCAAATTTTCATGAACCATCTATATTTATCTAATAAATTTGGAAGATATAGAAAATAAACAAAAGCAGTAGGGTTATCACCTTATGTAATAAATCCATATTTAGAGAGCATCAGCACTCTCAGGTAACTGAAATCAGTTTCACAAGAGCCTATAGTGTAGTCATAAGATAATTATCTTTTAAAGGACTCAAAATATATAGGTACAAAGTGCTAAACTATGTATATACACCTACCTCTGTAACTGTGTCCTGTGGAATAGTGGCAAAGTTTGGGGAAGAAAATGTGAAACCACTGTCAGTTCCAGCATCATACGGAAATAGATCTACTGATACTTCTTCCATCCAGTGGTCTCCTTCACAGAGACTGAGGCTGTCAATACCCACAAACCAGTCAGGGCTTGGAACAATTCGTACAACAAATGAAACCTAATGAAACAAAATGATCCATGAGGATTGTATCACTTGTTTTGAAATGTTTCAGTCCTCCTTATAGTAATTTTAACTTAAAATCTTTGAAAGAAATGTCGTTATGCTCTTCTACTTTATAGAACCTATACAGTGCTCCCTGCAATGTGACATGCTTTGTAGTAACTCTTTGCATTATATTGTTCCTACAAGTGAGAACTCAAATATTTAATTTTGGGTGCTAGTGACATAAAATAAACTTTTAAAATATGTACATTTACTTACTAAGGGATGTCTTGAATGCACTTCTAATTCAGTGGAAGTTTGTCCTGTACCACTGGAAATGGCAGGAGCAGAGAAGATTCCATGTACACTCTGAATTTTCTCTCCAGCTTCTTCTATTTCTTTCATTAGTACCCATGCTTCACCCTTTTCAGCAAAATCACGTACACCATTGCTGGCATATTCATTTTTTTTCCACATGCTGTAGTCAGAACTATGAGTAACACCTATTTGAGTGAATACATGGCATGACATAAAAGTCTGGTTTAGATTGTCCCTATTTCTTCAATTTATTTCTGAGGTTAAAAAAAAATGTGTATAAAAATGAGTGAACACTAAAACATTTGGCTTATCACTGTTTGTTTCAGCTGCAGCCAATTGAAAACAGAAGCCAATTGAAAACAGTTGTAGATTTTTGAAAGCATTGCGGATACTTCCATTTCTGCATTTCATACTTAATAACTTTGGCTATTTTTTTTCCTTTTTCGTTAATTATCCTAAAATTGACTATTAAGAAAAAAAAAAAAAGATCAAGAGATCTCTGTTCTTAAAACTGTACATACTTCACTTACCTAGCATTGATGACCACTGTGCTGGGGGCCTATAAAGTGGATACTGTTTGGGGAAAGCAGTCTGACTCCATTTCCCTGTGAAGATTATGCTGTACTTAGCAAGTTCTTCTGCTGTGCAAATAGAATCATCCCCCACAGGCAGGCTGCTGGCATAACCTAGTATTGTTATAAGTAAGGTCCAGATAACTTTACAGGAGCAGTAGACAAACATCAGGTTTTCCATTCCCTTCCACACAAAAAGAAAAAAAGTATGTTAGCCATATTAGTCACCCTAAACTCCAAATCGAATAACAGTTACCTAATAAAATGTAACATACCATAAGTTATAACCAAAAAGAAAGCATACATCTGAAACACTAAAAATTGTTATGCTTCTAAAAACATTATTATAATGCTTTCATATTTGATATTTCCATGCTATATACTACAAATTTGTAACTCTACCTGGTACAAGTGTTTCTAATGAAAATAAAACTTAACCTTGTCCATAGTACTACCTCTGAGAAGAATCTGTTTCTAATTTTCTTTTGCAATCTTATTAGAGTCACATCTTGAATTAATTAGAGTAGCAACTGTTTCTGTGGAAAACATTAGTGGTATATTTATTCTTCTAAAGATTAAATTGCAGGTTACTTTGCCAAAAGAAATGATTTATTTTAAATTTGTATTCTACAAAAGCTGTTTTATGGCATAACATTTAAAGTCAAATATATTTCATATTTATATAAATTACTTTGCTGTCATAACTTGTGCATTAAAAAATACATTGTAATTACTTCAGATTGTTTAAGCTACATAGTTGTTAAAACCCATATTTTTTAAAAGTTGCTGTCATAGGTTTTGCAAATTTTGTTTTCAAATTAATATGTAATTGCATCAGACTGTTGAACTCCAGCAATTGTTTAAAATAACAGCCTTAAAAACTTATTTTTAAATGCTTTTGTCCTTTGAGAAAACTATACAAATATAACTAAAACACTAATAATATATTAATCTGTAAAAAGAGCTGTGAATACTCACTAAATATTTCCTCTGGAGCACTGGTAGGGGGAGAGCACCTGCTTTTGCTGGCAGCTGAGTTGGTCTGCAAGAGAAGACAGTAGGAGTCTTGCTATTTATGCCTGAAGAGGGTCCCTTTGGTCCAACAATTATTGTAATCTTTAGACTTTCCAGGTTTGCAAAATCATGCCATCTTCTTGTTTGCAATCTTTTGGATGGACTATCAGAGGTTTCCTGTCTGTCAACTGATTCAGGTTCCTATCAGAAGACTGTGATGCCGAATAGACGAAATGCTTTTAAAAAATACCTTGGATTCTTAGTAACAGTTCGAGTTTTCTGGTGCCTTTACAGCTCTCTGCTCTTATTAATGCCTCCAAGCTATACAAATGAACTGATTCCAACACTGAAATAGTTCTAGTGAATACACTTTAAATGAGAAGCATGTTTTCTTGTAAGTTTTATTGTCTGACAGATGCTCCTTCCAAACATTTACAGAGAGCTTGCTCACTCTCACACACCATATGTATGTGTTCAAATAAAAAGGGTGAGGCAGCTAAAAAAGTCAAGAGGAAAAAAAAGTTACATTTCATAATTGCACATACTCACACAGACTGTGTCTCCTGCAAACATGAATTAATTTAAAGTAGTACAGTGTATATTTTTGTGTTCTACAGTACCGTATGCTGGATGATGAAAGGGCTCTGTAACATTGTGGTTTCTTTGGAAAGAGTGGTTTTGGAAAGCTCTGAGATTTTTCTTAGCTGTCTTCAGAGGAAAAACCCCAAATAAAAATCTTATTATTACAGTTAAATCATGAATCCTCTGTAGCACAGTACATATACTTACATCACTAAAATTATTTAAATTGTCTGTGAAAAATTATGCATAATACAGTGACCCAATTAAGAAATAATGTTTAATATTTATTTTAAATTATTTTCCCCACCACCTTTCAAATAAGGGAAAACAAGGGCTTTGTGCCATGCCTTTAAGGTTAACAAATGCTATGGTGGCTGATCAGTGAAGGAAGTTCAGTTCAAAAGTTTTCAGTGAACCATGAAGAAAGTCTTTCATAGAGTCTTCTTTTGAAATTGTGAAGAATGTCACTTAAGTACTTCCACAGATCTCTAATATGGTGGACAGCATATTTTTACTTTTCAGATGGAACTCCCAGGCCATCACAAGTATATAGCTTAAGTGACACACTATTGTCCACCAGTAGGGGGTTACCAAACAACCAGTTTGTGCTTCGTGGCACTTTAACTGGAAACTTATCATTCCTTTCCCCCCATCATGGTAAATCAACAACAAAAGCCAAGAGATGAATAAACTGGGATGTCTGAATGGAATTTCCATTGATTATTCTCCTGACAAAATGGAATCTATTGCAAGTTTCAACACAGATGGATTCAGCACCCATAACCACAATTCCTGTATATCTGGACAGATGATGGGAATTCTGTAGCAAGTTGAGCCATCTAGACGTGGACATGCCCTTTATTTCCAAGGCCTCTTCCTCTATCCTATGTTAATGCAATTTTTTCCATAATTTATTTCTGTTCCAGGAGCCAGATTCCACTAAGAGCAAGAGCAAAGAGACTTCAAGGGCACTTTTATACCAGTTCTTTGAGTGTTTATTGTAGGATGATATTTGAATTACATCCAGCCCACTCCCTCCTGTGCACAGAATTCCAGATCCACAAGTTCCTTAGAGAATTGAGTCTACTTACACCAGAAGTGGGTGATCTTTCCGGCCCCTGCAGCCCTCTAGATGAACTAAAGGTCTCACAAGTTTTAAAGTATAATGCTCAGAGCACTCTTAAAAGTGCTCAAGGCTTGCTTATTTATTACTAAGTAGCTTTAAATTTTGGTAGGTTTTGTTGTTTATCATCACAGTTATTGAACCAGCTAACTTCACATACTGAAACATACTGTGAGACTTCCAGGACAACTCTTAAAATGAGAACAAAACAATTAGCTCTGGATTCAGCACAGAATTATTTAATATATCAGACTAGCCTTTTCCTTTCGAAGAAAAATTACTGCCAAAAGGCACATCACCAGACTAGATCATTCTAGTTCCGTGACTGCATGTTATGAATGTATCCACGAACAGGACAATACATGCAAACTGCATAATTTGGCACAGCTATTATAAAAAAAATTCACTAAATGATAAAAGAAAGTGAATCATTGGAAGTCGTTAACTTGGGAAGTCATCTGAGGTTTCTGAGTACAAAGTAGACAAACAAATACTGAAAATCACAAAAGTTATAGCTGATTCTTCCCTTGGAATAAGAGTGCATGATGCTTTGTACTGAGTATCCCAGAGGCTTTCCAGTTCTACAATTCTGTGTAGTCAGTTTATCCTTCTTCGAGAGCTCTATTACTTCAATTTCTTGAGGTTACCATATACTTCAACATCAGATATGTAGTCAATGGAATACAACTGTGTCTAGATCTTTTATTTTCCTACCAGTGGGGGAATGAGATACCTTGAAGCGTATTAGTTTTAAAAACCAAAGACGGCAGATACTTACAGGGAAACTGGATTATAATTATTATTTTTGTTCTCTGATCTTGGTCCAAAAAGGAGGTTTTCTTCCTTACCATTCATACCGTGGACCTTTCCCTGTTTACAATGAGGGCTCTACCATGACAGATTTCTCAGGATTAAAATATTCAGGACCTACAGCCTCATTCTTATCTTTGTTGGATTCATAATGAAATAACTGTATAAAATGCAGTATCTGTAAATGTATTTAACTATCTCCTCTCTCCTCTCTTCACACCCCCACCTCATGGCTGAAGGAGGGGGAAAACAGAAAAACATACCAAGTAATGTCAGAAAATACTAACTTGAGGACTCCCAGTCTTATTTCTTTAAATAGAAACTGTACTAAGCGTAATCAATATCTGACATTGTGAAGAACATCAAAACATCAAACGTATCTCATAGATGGGAAGAAAAAAAACCCAGAAAAACAAACAAACAAACAAACAAACAAAACAAAAAAAACCCACAACCAAACAGATTTCCACTCAATGGATTACTTTCATGGCTGGAAAACCACAGATGCCAAATTTCTGTGGGCCAGGATTTGGAGAAAAAAATGCTGTGGGATCAGAACCTATGCTTGCATTCCTTCTTCAGTTTCTATGTCCCATTAGAGAGCAGCTGAAAGCTCATGGAAAATTGGAAAAAAAAATCCTTCCATTTAGAAACCATTTTGCTTGTATATAAAATCGGACTTTTTTTTTCTCTTTTGTTTTTCAGTTTTTGTCTCTTCAGGTACACCTATTTCCTATCCACATGCATACCTCTATAGTTCCTGAATGCTAGAGAGAGTAGGCATACAAACTTGTTTTATTTAAGCACCAGTGTTAAAGTGTGCTTTGTGTTTGATTTTACTTGCAGAAGTGTGCAACTTCTGCTGTTTCTTGTCAATAAGAGAACAGTCTTAAAGTTCCTGCAGGCTTTACCAAGATGCACAAGATGAAAGCTGGAAAGTATAAAACAAAAATGGTGTCCAGATATTTCTGGGTTTTAAATAACAGTCATAACTGTGTCTAAAATATCCGGCATTTTTGCTAGCCAAAAATAATTAGTAAAATAAGAAAACAAGGAAAAGATGCTACTTAAAAATATAACAGTACAGTCAATGCCATGTTGATTCTTGAATCATTTCACCATAGGAAAACATTTATATGAGCATGTTTAGGCTATCTCACAGGAATATAACGCATTAAAAGGGTGTAAATTCCATTTTGGTTAGTCAGAATACTTTAACCTTTTTTCTGGTAAGAGCAAGATTGGCATGATTAGTTTTGACTGTAAGATTAAAAGTGATTTAACTAGAATGATTGATCTGAAGTTACTTTGCCTACTTTTATTCAAAACAGAAGCTGCAGAAATCTTGTATTTATATTCCTGAAGTGCTACCCCACACTACAGTTTTACTAAAGCAATTTCCATTTTGCTGGTAAGGAGTGTATATGCAACTTTGATATTCACAGGCTGTTTAATATGCTTATGACGAGCTAGCATCTCTTTGTCTACCAAGAAAAACACAACATTGTATTACTTAAGAAGGATTACAGCCATACTTTCTCTCCTGTAGTTACCATGGATACACATACAATTATGGACACTCAGCAATGCCAAAAGGTTTACATTCTGCTGAAGCCCTCTGAGCTCTAAGTTGTAAAACCTCAGTGCCAGAGTGGCAAGTAGCAGAATATTTTATCATGGAGAAATTGTGGTCTTGGTTTAGAAGCTTTTATAAAATGAAGCATTTACATAGGAGAATAAAGCGTTCCCAATATTAGATGGTACAATTGTAGTGAAGGCATCTTTAATCTTTATTCATCTTTTGGGATAAAAAATCAGGTTTTATGTGCTACATATATAAACTGCCACTATAAATAATGTCATTATAGTCGATAGAATTTAGAGAACTGTCAGTTCACCCTTTAATCTATACTTACATCTGACCAAATGAATAACTGATGAGTAGCTCCACTAACTGTATTGGTAAGCTCTCCATTGATCAGACACCTAGCTCTCATGAAACCATCTACACATAAGTAACTGATTCAGGCATCTCTATATTTTGTTAAATCCAAATCCTAGTGGACTTCATTAGATGTTGTCACTGATGACTATAATCAAGGTTCAACCTGCTAGTAGGGAAATGCAGATTCACTCTGTACTTAGAGTTTACAATTTCCCTTTGTAAGTGTTGGGGTTGAGGGAGGGTGTGATTTGTTGTTGTGATTTTTTTTTTTATTTTTTTTTTACTTCAGGGCTCACTGAGAATTCAAGCCAAGATATGGAAAAGGAATAAGGATAAGGAAAAATCCCAGTTTTATCAACTACCATGACACTGATCAGCAACAAAAAGCTCTTCTGTCATCTTCCATCATCTGTATTTAAGTCACTTAGTACTGAAAAATCTAATATGTAGGCCAGACCTAAATAACCAAATCAAGGTCCTCTATGACAGTGACCAGAAACTATGCCTCTCTTTGGGTTTCTTTCCATGCCCATGGGTTAGGTTCACCTGAACTGTGCAACAATAACAAATATATAATTTTTCCCGTTTTCCAAAAGAATTTGCAAGAAGGTGCTATAATCCCACTCTTTTTTGCATCCCAGTTTCTTATTTTCACCTCCTTTACACCAGTAAAATGTGGCTACACAGTGAGACAAACTGAAGAA